AAAAAAAAAAAAGAAATCCTTGATAACTTCAATCTTCTCTCTATTTGGACCTATTGGTCCAGATGTGAAAACTGGTTTTCCTTACATTGAGTTGTAATGCATACTGAAGGCTGCAATTCTAACCTTCGTCACCAAGTGCTTCAAGTCTCCTTTACTTTCAGCAAGCAAGGTTGTGTCATCCGTATATCAAAGGTTGTCAATAAGCTTTCCTCCAATCCTGATGCCACATTCTTCTTCATACAATCAGCTTCTCTTGTTATTTGCTTAGCATGCAGGTTGAATAAGTATGGTGAGAGGATACAACTCTGACGCACACCTTTCCTGAAACCATGCATAAAATATGCCCTTTTTCTGTTCACACAACTGCCTCCTGACCTAAGTGCAAGTTCTGCATAAGCACAATTACATATTCTGGAATTCCAAATCTTCTCAATATTATTCATAATGTCTTATGGTCCACACAGCTGAATGTCTCTGCATAGTCCACAAGTCAAGTAACCATCTTTCTGGTATTCTCTCCTTTGAGCCAAGACCCATCTTACATCAGCAATAACAACACTTTTTCCACATCCTCTTCTGAATCAGGAGTGAATCTCTGGCAGCAATCTCTCAATGTACTGCTGCAACTGTTGTTAGATGATCTTCAGCAAAATTTTATTTGCATGTGATATCAATGATACTGTTATATAGTTTGTGGATACTGTTGGGTTAACTTACTTTGGGTACAAATATGGATCACTTCCAGTCAGTTGGCCCGGTAATTGTCTTCCAAATTTCTTGGCATTCACAAGTGAATGCTTCCAGTGCATTATCAGTTTGTTGAAACTTCTCAATTAGTAGTCTATCAATTCCTGGCTCCTTTATTTTGGCTAATGCTTTCAGTTCAGCTTGGACTTCTTCCTTCAGTACCCTTGGTTCTTGCACATGCTCATGGGACCCCTTGAAATGGTTGAATGTTTACTAGTCTTTTTGGCACAGTGACTCTATGTATTCTTTCCAACTTCTTTGGAGGCTTCCTGCAGCATTCAAATATTTTGTCTCTGGAATCTTTCAATATTGTAACTTGAGCTTGAATTTTTTCTTGAGTTCTTTCAGTTTATGATAAGCTTCCTTTTTGGTTTTCTAACTCTAGGTTTTGCACAGATTTTTATAATATTTTACTTCGTATTCTCAAGCTATCCTTTGGACTTTTCTTTTCAGTTCTTTTACTTCATCATTTCTTCCATTTG